CCTCCTGGGTTGCAGGGGGGTCAGCTCCAACCCCCCCACACTCCCAGAAAATAAGCTCTCAATCTCTCCAGTTGATCAAGAATCCTGTGGAGAGAGGACCAAAATAGCAGACAATCCAAAAACAAAAACGATTCCATGCATGGGCTTTGGGAGTCCCTTGTTTTCCTCCTTGCTCGTGTGCATGCTTGCATTTTGGGATAGTTAGTGTATCTGAACTTAACAATGGGAAAAGAAATCACTCACAGAACCAAACCCAAAAGTTGTCAGAGGAGACTTCCCACTATCCTTCAATCTCCCTTGTGCTGATAGGTTCCCACAGTGAAGCCAGGCCAGGCTCCATACACCCCACTCTGTCACTAGTAGACTTGGCTGCAGGGACTCAGGCTTAGGTACAGGCTCTATGAGTCTTGGTGTCCCTGTGTTTAAAATGGGGACAACAGCCTGGCCAGCGTGGCTCAGCAGTTGAGCATCGACCTATGATCTAGGAGATCGAGGTTCAATTCCCGGTCAGGGCACATGCCCGGGTTACAGACTCAATCCTCAGTAGGGGGCGTGCAAGAAGCAGACAATCAATGACTCTCATCATTGATGTTTCTGTATATCTCTCTCCCTCTCCCTTTCTCTCTGAAATCAATAAAGACATATTAAGAAATATATACCATACCATTTATAAACTATGTCCTACCAGTGTTTCCCAATAATGCTTCATAGAATATGGTAAGGGAAGTTTGAGAAATGTAGTATTTATACTCTAACCCTGGCTTTTATATCACATGCAGGTGAGCACATTAAAGGCCCTCATACGTCCTGCAGTTGAAAAACATTTGTTTAATGATATTTAATCCATTAGGTCCAATTTCTTAACTTGCGTGGCTCTCTAAATCCTTTCTTCCTGGGATATCAATTAATAAACTATTCAATGTCCTTGAGACCTCTAAAGAATAGCTTAGGAAATATCTCTGTGTGGACTCGAGGCGGCCAGGTTCCTATCTTGGTCCCAGCGTGTGTCTCTTCAGTGCCAATCTGACTCAAATTCCCATACCTCTCCCAGGCCCCAATGCCCTCTGTATGGGTCACTTTCATTCCCACCCTCATCCGACTTACCCCATCACATCATCCCACACCAGGGATGGAGGGGAACCTGCAATTTATCTATTCTGCCCTAAAAGGGGGGGCTCACCAGCTTCTCCCATATATGTACCAGCTCTGGCGACTCCCCCTCACTGCCATGTTTAGACCTATCTCAAAGGTTCAACCTGACTGTCACCTAGCCCCTCAGTGTCCTGTCCTTCCTCCTCATTGGGCAGACACACTCTGCCCATCCCACAGAGGTCAGTACACTTCTGCTACTTCCTAAAACCCTCTCCCCTTCCTCTGAGCCCCACTATCTAATGCACAGTTGTGCTCTGATCACCTCCCTGCCTCCCCATCCATTTTGGCAACTCTTCAAGCTGGGATTTTGTGCTATACGTCTTTGAGATAAGACGTAACAATGCAAATGGCTAAAAGGATATACTGAGAAACCTGGGTTCAAATCTTGATTCCACCACTTATCAGCTGGATGGTCAAGTTACTTAACTTCTCTGTGTCCCAGTGTCTTTATCTGTAAGTGGGGTGAACAACCCCAACAATATGGGATTGTTGGGAGGAATTAATGAGTTGATTAAAGTGCTTAGGACTATGTCTGGCACACAGTGAGTGCTAGATAAGTGTTAGCTATTACAATTACAATTATTATCATTCCTTCTCCTCCACAGAGCCTTCCATAGGCAGTCCTTAAAACTTTTTTTTCTGTGAATGTGAAGTTATTTGAAATAAAATTGAAGCACATTTAAAGAAGGAATTGCCAATATTTAGTATTTTCCCTCCTTGTTAGTATGTTTTATTGTTATATTTTGATCCTATTTACTTATTTACATTATACAATAATCCAATTTTTAAAATGCTGTGGATGTAACCTTTTCTTAGACTGGCAAATACTTGGTAAAACTCTTAATATCTGTGTCTACGTCCTTCCTTCCACAGGGCTCTAACGTGCTCAGAGGCAGGGCTCAGAGCGAGGGCTCTCCAGGCTGGGCTGAAGGCATGGGGACCGGATTTGCGGCTGGAGACGGGGGCGGGTTCCCCACTGCCACATCAGGGTACTTTCCCACCCGGGAACGGGAAGAGCCCAGCCCGCCGAGCCGGCCCTGCTGCTGCAGCCACGGCTGCCGGGCTGGAAGGGTCCCGACGCTGGCCGCGCGCGGAGACGGCTTGCCAGGCCTCCTCCACACCTCACCACCCGCCCCGGCGCTCAGGAACCCCTCCGACTGGGTCTGCCGGGCTCGGAGCTCCGCTGTCAACCTGACCTGGGGGAAGGGGAGGAGGGAGGGGGGGAGAGACACGGAGACCTCACCCGAAGTAGTGTAAAGACCAGAGCGAGGGTTGGGGTGGTGGAGGGGCAGAGTCCAGCCCCAGCCCTACTCTGACACGTGCCCATACCACCATTTCACAATAGATGGAGTTGCCCACAAAATCCTAAAGGCAGAGCGCGAAAGACGTTTCTCTCCCCCAAGCACCCAACCTGTACGATTTTTCTCCTGCGGCAGAAAAACCGTCCAGACTACCGCGGCACTCCTAGGGCGAGCACTACAGGAAGAGTAATACCAAAGCCGGCCGTCGCCGGCCGGGGGCAGTCGGGGCGCGCTTCCTGGAGGAGGCGGCGCGTTTCGCGCGCTCCAGCCTGCGAACCAGCCCCTTCCCTCGCTCACCGGTGTCCAGAGAGGTGAATAAGGAGCTCGGG